ACCCAAGCTGTCGGGCCCCTGCCATCCTCTCCATCCTCATCCCACATCACTCTCCTCCCTGCCTGACCACCAGCCTCCAGCCACACTGAGTCCTTTAGCGTCCTGGAACAAGCCAGGCTTTTCCTACCTCAGGGCCTTTGTATATGCCGTTCCCTCTGCCTAGAAGGCTGTTTCTGCTCTTCCCAGAGTTGGCTCCTTCCCCTAGTTTATACTCAGCCTAACCACCAGCCCTCTGGAGAGGCTTTCTCTGACACTCCTGCCCAAATAAGCTCTGTCCACACCCCACCCCAAGTACCGTGGTCTTGACACCATGTTTGTTTAAAGCCCTGACCACAACCTGTTGGCTGTCTAACTGTTTCTGTTATGTCTCCCAAGAGAGAATGGGAGACTCATGAGGGCCTGGACCACATCTGCTATGTTCCCTGTTGCCCTCAGCACGTAGTATGGACCCTGACTTAATGCATCTCTGTTGAATGGCAGACCTCAGCCGGTACCCACAGTATGCCAGGCCAGGTGCTGTAGAGGGCTGTGGGCAGCTAGTTAGACCTTCACAGCCACCTAAAGGTAGTTATCATCCCCACTTTACAGGTGATGAAGCCCAGGAAATTAACTTGCCCCATGTCGTGAAGCCGATCAGTGGCAGAGGGGGAATTCACGCGCAGCTCTGCGGACCCTTCTCACTGTACAGACTGCCTTCCAGTCCCAGACACAGCTTAGAAGACTGGCGAAGCTTTCAGCAGACACAAGGCTCGCTGCCAGCGCGAACGGCATGTCAGACAACATGCTCCCTTTATATCTTTATTTGTATCTTTATTTAAACTTTCAAGACATCAGATCTAAGAAAGACCCCACTGAAGTACCAAATGACTTTAGCATCATCGTATTTGTGTGGTTTATTATTACTATTACTCTTATGTTTTCACTTGAATCTGGATTTGTGGGTAAATTGGATACAAATTCATCTTGTAGGCTGAATATCACACTGTCAACCCAGTGATGAAGGAGGAGGAAAAGGTGGAGAGAAGGCACAAGAGGAGGAGTCTGGCATCGGGCCAGACGCATGGAAAACTCGCCCATGACAGCAAGAGGGACCTAACCATCTACCTGCACTGACGGTGTGGCGTGGACAGGCGTCACCAAAGGCCCACCAAACAAGGCCGACTAGCCATGATCTCACTAGTAAAGCTGGTGGCCCAATTCAGAAAGCACACCTGCAGTAAAAGCTCTACCGTCACCAACGAGAAAATGGCCACACAAGTCCCCTGACGTTCATCTGTCACAAATGCTCACAGCGAGCCTCTGTGGGAGGCGCTAATATTATCTCCATTTCAGAAAAGAGAAAATTGAGGAACAGAAAGGCTCGGTAACTCGCCGAAGGTCACACAGCTGTCAAGCAGCAGGGCGGGGTCGCCCCGTCTTGCCAGGCTGCCGCCTTCCAAGAACTCACATCACCAACAAGTCCGTTCCAACGTTACAGTCACACACTTTCTCTCCCCTTCTCCAGTTTCTAATATTTAAACTGATTTTCTTTAAAGTGTGTACATTTATTGCCATTTTTATGGGAAAAGAGAGGGAAGGCATGTGTCACCACAACACAGGGGGCCGGTGATGAGTGGACATTCTGGAAGTCAGGGAAGAGGAACGTGCCACACACTTGCCGGCTGCACTCCGTGACAGTGACAGTAAATTTCCGTCCTTCCCATCAGCCCAGCCAGCCCTGCAGACCCATCCTCGTCTCAGGGACTCACATCCCAATGGCAAAGATTGCCACTGACCTTTGTGGAGCCCAGTGATTCCCAGATGTACTTAACTATGAAAGTCTATTTCAAGAAACACCTATTCCACACTCGAGACAAACATGAGGAAATGCTCCCCCAACCTCTGAGCTGCTGGCACCAAAAGAGGGGCGTGTGGGCGAAGAGCCAGGGCGAGCATCCCGGCGAAGGCAGCATGGCCCTCGTCACTGCCAGGCTCCTCTTGCCACGGCTCACCAGCAGCCCCGTGGCCTTTGCTGACCTTGGACCCCGGGCTCCCACGTCAGGAGGGCCCCCAGGAAGCAATGCGTGCTGCCCCTTGAGTTTCCTCTCCAGAGACTTCACCTCCAGCCCTTCCGTGTTTAGAACCTGAGACGCTATCATAGAAAGGGCAGGTTTACGGAGGAGGCCGGGGCAGGAAAGGCCCACAGGGCAGAAGACAGGGGATGTCCCTGGAACCTTGCGCACGCCACTCCCCTGAAAACAAGGAACACGGCCCCTTAGATGCCTGCAAAACTCGACAGTGAACAGAGCGCTCTGTGTGCTGTATGTCACTGCTGCCCTGCACAGCGCTAGGTATGGTCACCATCTCCGCCGTTGTACAGAAGAGGACAGGCGGCCTCGATAAAGTGAAGGGCAGAGTCCAAAGTCACAGCAGGTATAAAAGGTAGAGTAGAACCCTGGTCTCAGACAAATGTCCACCGGGAGTGTCACCCTGTGTCTCCCTGCCACCTGCCTCATCTAGTTGCAGGGCAGGGATGTGGCCAAAGTTTGGAAAAGGAAGGATCACTTGGCTGCCCTGATGATATGGTGGGGACAGGGGAAGATCTGAAACTGAAGTGACAAAGGGCGGCTTAGATGGGGGCCTCAGACAGTGACAGGGTGGAAAAGGGGGGACTCAGATGGAAGGGAAAGGGACTCCTCCCCAGCCCTGGCAAAACTGCCCCAAGCTGGGGAGCTGCAGCCGGCGGGGTGAGGGCAGGCTGGGCGTGGAGGCTGTGGTGGGTGAGCAGGAGGGGTGCCCGTCACAGGGTGCCTTATCCGACATCAGAGGCCCACGGGCTCCCTCGGGGCTTACAGAGCACAGATGTGTGTGATGCCGGTCTTCCTCCAGGTTCAGTTATCAAGGGCTGCTCTCTGAACTGCCCCACGGTCCTTCCTCTGAGGATGGGAGAAGCAGGGACTCCCAGGGCCTCAGCGGGGACAGCCGTGGGCAACCAGCCACGCCAGTTTATTGCCCAAGCAGATGACCTGGCTCCCCGGGCCCCCCGAAGACCGGCATCTGAGGGTCCCCGTGTTCCCTAGTTCTTCCCGATGCCCAGTGGGAGTGCGTCCGGGAGAGGAAGAGAGACCAGGCGGCTGTCAGCCCCGCCCTCCTCAGCCCGGTTGCCCGCTCAGCCCCCGGGCGCCCCAGCTGGAGTAGACATCTAGTTAGCGCCTCCCCGCTCCGCTCCAGGCCCGCGTTGCTGGTGCTGCAGACACCGGCAGGGCTCCAGCTCCAAGCAGCCCAGGGAGGCCTCTTCCCGGCAGCGGGGACTGTGGAGGCTGGGAGGCTGAGGCTGGGAGGATCCCACGTGCCTCCTGCTGCCCGGGGGTCCCAGAGGCAGAGGCTGCGCCTGTCTCCTGCATGCAGCCTGCACTCCACACGGGGTTGTTGGGTGGGGCGGGGCCTCGGATCCCCAGCCCAGCGTGGGTGCAGCCAGTGCTCCCTGGGACAGACTGGGCTGCCTAAAGCCCCTGTTCCTTTGGGGGCACTTGGAGCTGAGGCTGCCCTGGCTTGGGGTGGGCAGGGGACTTGAAGCACAAGCCAAGCCCCCTGGGTGGGGAGCCTGTGGGCAGCACAGCTGGCTGTGTCAGGATCGAGCTCCCTGGTCTGAACAGCTCAGCCTCCCCTGACTGGCCTTGGAGGATAAAACTCCCTTTCCACAATGACTAAGGGGAGTGGAGCCGGCAAAGCACCAGCCAGGGTGGATAAAGTAAGGAGGCGAAGCAGTTTGACAAAAGGCCAGGGTTTGGCTGCCCTTGCCAGAAAGTGTGTGGCAAGGGGGTCTGGCTACAGGGCCCCCTGCAAGCGTGCATGAACATGGTGGCACCGAGGGCCCGAAGGAGCAGCTAGGGGAGCTGTGGACCCAGAGCTGAGGACCTAGGAAGCAAAGAGGCCCCACTGGCCAGGGAGAGATGGGATGGGGAGCAGACCCAGCTACCCCGGATCATACACGCTCATCTCCTCTGGAGTCAGGAACCTCCAGGCTGAGTCCCTTCAGCAACATCTCTATTTGAATATTTCCAGTGACAGGAAACTCACTACCTCCTGAGACAGTCTTTCCATCACCAGATGGCTCCTGCTGTTTGAAATGTCCCCACATGTGGAATTGATAATGGTCTCCCTGTAGCTCCCCCCACTCTTTGTCACAATTATTCTTCCTCTGACATCCCTCATCCCTTCAAACATTGGGATTCACACATCCCAGGTCTTCCCCAGACAAAATGTCCCCGGTGTCCCCCGAGTGTTGTGATCTGCAGCCCCTCCTCCTCCTAGACCTTCTCCCCAGCTGCAGCCCCAGCCCCCCTGAACTATGACACAACCATAATACTTGCAGGCTGGTCCGACCTGGGGTCTGACCTGACATCGGTGACCTGGGCCTTGACCAGGGGAGCCCAACCTAGAAAGGGCTTCGAGGGCAGCCAGGTGGCCCCCAGAGGCTTTCTGCTGCTTAGAGACCAGAGCTGTCCAGACCGGGTCCTAGGCCCTTCGAGGGGTCCTTGCGGCCAGGAGCGGGGAGGTGGGGGCAGGTGCACTGGGCTCGGGACCCCCTCCCCGACTCATCTAAGTAGAACAGAGCTACTTGGTCCTCCGGTACACACGGTGCATCTACATTTTACAAATGAGTTTGAAGCAAGAGCACAGCTTTAAAATGTCTAAAACTGCTGATGCCGCCTGACAGGATTTCGTGTTTTGGGCACGTGCTATCCCAAGGCCACTGCCTGCGTCCCGTTTATGTGCAAACACTGCGGCTCAGGCCAGCGCCAAGAAGAGGAGCCTTTCCCCCCAATCTGGGAGACCAGTGTCCCCTGCCCTGCTGCTCCAGGGACATGCAGACCCGGCTCCGCTCTGCTCATGGGACGGCGGGGCAGGCTCGCACATGGGCGCGTCGTGAGGACTCGGCGGCGGTCGGGACGGCCGCACCCCTAGGGTGTGCACGGAGGGCCGGCCCCAGCCCAGGGGTGGTGGCAGGGGGCACTCACAGGGCAGAGTCTCGGCGCGGCTCTTCTGGATCATTATGCAGAGCTGTAGCACCAGTTGGGGGGCGCTTTCCAGGAAGGTCTCCAGGAGGCGCAGCATGTTAACGTCTGCATATTCGTACATCATAGCCCAGTAGAAGCGTCGCTGGTGTTCCTTCTGCCGCTGGCTCTGAATCCCCAGGTACATGGTGCGGATATACCTGCAGAGAGACGGGACCGAACACAGAGAGTGTGGGTCGGGGGGGGGTGGAGGAAAGGCCAGGCCATTCCCCCAGACAGCATCTCTTCCTTTGCCCTGAGTTTTCCCAGGTGCTTAGAGCAGCTCTAGGGGTTCTCCCAGCCCACGGACACGGTGCTGAGGCTTCGGCGGGGTGGGAGGTGGGGGAGGCCATGGAAGGGGTCCCAGACAACCTGTCCCTTTCCCAGCCTCAGTTTGCTTATCTGTAAAGTGAGAAATGAAGGAATGGGACCAGATGATTTCCCAGGCCTGCCCGTGAAGCATCACAGGTGAGCTCAGGTTCAGGGTCCGGAAGGGGGAGGGGGGTACCTCCCAGCAGAGTTTTCGCCTCTCTGGAGGAGGAGGGAATTAGCATTTGGGAAGTTCCTGCTATCACTGGCTGGCTAGCCGGCCCAGTATTGCCTGGGTCCCAGGTGACAGGTGAGTGTAATTCCCATGTAGGACCAATGGGTGGGGCTCACGTTCACAGGCTCCACAGCTGGATGGTGGACAACCAGGAAGCCGGCCCAGGGCTGTGGGACCTCAAAGCTCATGTGTGGCCCCCTCTACACTAGGGAGACATGGAGCCTACAATGGAGTCTCTGTCCAGGTGTGGCCCAGGACACAGTCACAGAAAGGCACTGACCACTGCATCCAGGAGAGTCAAGAGGCAAAGGAAACAGGTAGTGGGCTCTGGGTTCAAATCTGTCATCTGCTAATTGTGGGATCTTGGACTAATTCCTCCAACTCTGTACTCCTGTTACTCTTCTTCAACATGAGGAAAAGAATCAGAGCATCACAGGGCTGGTGGGAGATTAGGGAGATAACACACGTGCTGGGCATGTAACCTGGGTCTGAGTTAAAAAGCCTCCACACCTGCCTCACTTTTACCTAAACTTTGGAAGCTGTCCCCAAACCACAGTCCAGGGGAGGCCTGAAGGTACCATCTAGGCCAGCCAGCACTCTCTGGGGCCAGGCCAGGCCCAGAGGTTCAGGAAGTACAGCTTTGTGGGCCCAGTTAGGATCAAGAACATGAACCATAAACAGCCAACAGGACAGAACCACACGTGCATCCCTGGACATCCCCTGGGAGTGCATACCACTGTGCCTTCTAAAGGCTGTACCGGAATCAGAGGGTGAGAGCACGGATGGCCCCTATGGAGTCCCCACCGTCCCTGAGCACCGTCAGGGGCCCACGTGGGGCTGCTGGGTTCCTTCTCTTTGTCCGCGTCACCACCGCCAGCCTGGGCCCCACCACCACCCTTCTCTCCTGAACTGAAGCTGAAGCCTCCTAACCGGTCTACTGGGGACCACTCTTGCCCCAGAACAACGCAGTCTTTGCACAGCAGCCAGCACCCGCAACAGCCACGTGGCCAGCAGAGCCTTGGTGCTGTGGGTATCCCAGGGCAAATGTGGTCTCCGTGCTCCAAAACTCAGCTCTACCCAGATGTGGCACCTGCAACATACAGTGCCATGGGCCACATACTTGCACAAATCTACACTCTCTCAGGGGTACACTCAGACCACAGACTCTGCCTTTCCCAAGATGGAGGGATGATAATGTAGCAGAGCCAAGCCTACCATCCAGGTCCCAGGGCAAGGTAACACCAACACTCAGACTCACCTAGATCTGCTCCACCAGGGCAAAAGGAGCACTTGGCCTGCCCCTCCACCCCCATGTTCCCCAAGCCACGAGCCCCTCTGCCCATCATGGCCAGGACAGTGGAGGATGACGAGTCTGGAACATGTTGATTCAACCATAATGTCTGCCCAAGAAACCAACCTTGAATCTCCCCTATGAGAACATCCCAAGGTGTGGGAAGAGATGAGGGTGGGAGTGGGCAAAGCCAGAGCCTCTCCCCACCGATAAGCAAACAGATGCTGGGAGCCCAGAGTGCACTGGGATCAAAGCCGGATAAATCATGCGTCCCAGGACCCCAGCTCACGCAGCCTCCCACCCTGGAGTAGGAGCTAAATCAGAGTCCAGAGCAGGATCCCCAGTCAAGGGCCTTCTAGCTACTCCGCCCCCTCTGGCTCCTGCACCCTCATCTTCTATCCTTAAGTCCTTGGGTCCCCAGTAGACCGCGTCAAACCCAGTGTGGGTCTAGGTGACCTCTGGGGCCGCCCAGCCTCTTGCTAAGCCTTCAGCCCCTGCTCAAAGACAGCCTTGGCCCGTGGCCACAAGGTGGCGCCAGACCCTAAGCCTCGTGGGAAGGCTGCTCTGGCAGTGATCTCATCTCACAGAAAGGTCTGCACCTTTCTATGCGGCAGGAGCCTCGGGGTGTACGGGGGCCAGGCGAGGCTGAGGGGCACGGCACCTTCAGGAGACCCAAGGTGGGCTGCAGCTCCCCCGCCTTCTCCCCTTCCCTGGCAGCTTCTGGAAGTCTCACCTTTCCCAGGAAGGCAGTCCTGGAGAGAAGACACGCAACTCTCCTCCTCCTGGACTCGCTTCCATCTGGACTTTTTGTCACCTCCTGTCATACTGTCTCTCTCCTAAGAACGTCGGATCATGAAATGAACAGATCTAAAAGCAAGGTGGCAGCGTGTCCTCCTGGAGCGAGGCCTCAGGAAAGCGGGGCCTGGTCCACGGTCTGCAGGGCTGCATGACCTTGGGCAAGTCACTCCCGAGGCTGGGTCTGCTCCGCTCGCCCATCACAGAGGGGCAGGCTGGAGGATCCCTGAGCCTCCACCTACAGGTCATAACTCCATCCTTGTGCACCTTCTCAGAGCGTAAAGGATGGCCGAGCATCTTTACAAATAATATCCAGTGTTTGTCTGGCACTCATATGTGCCAGGCGCTGTTTTGAGCATTTTTAACTTACTAACTCATTCAATGCTCACAACAAACTTCTGAGGTAGATTCAATGTTACGCTCACTTTACAGATGGCAAATCGAAGCACTGAGGTTAAGAAACGTGCTTCAGTTTACTCAGCCAAGGAAGGGGCTGAGGAAGGCTTCAAGCCTGGCTTTGGGGCCAGTGCTCTCCTATGTCACTGGCTGTGTTACCATGGGGAACATCTCCTATCCTCCTGGAGTCTCCGTGTCCTCATCTACACAATGCCTGGCCCAGAATAGGACCCTAGGACATGTTGACTGAATGGATGCATGCCACCATGTCCCCTTGGCGGGTTCCAGGGGGCTCAAATGAGGCAATGCTTGTGAGAATAGATGGGAGACCAGAAGCCACAGATGCCAGCTGTCACTGCACCCTCCACCAGGGGGCGCTCCTCCTGTCCTTCTCTCAGTCCACTCTGTTTATTCTTCCAAGTCTATCTTCTCCCCTTACTTTGTAAACCATGGAATTGTTTAAAGCTCTTTATACTTCCAGGAGAACTCTCTAGCTCTCTGAGCACATTTTCACTTTTATAGCAGCACTTTGAAGGACACATGTTTGTCATCTTTTTCCCATTGGTTCATCTGAAACTCAGAGAGGCTGAGTGATTTTCCCAAAGTCACACAGCCAATCATGGTTCAGGGGAATCAGAGGTCTTGTCCAAACTATGTTGCCCCAGTGGGAGTTAGCTATAGCCCTGCCTGAAACTAAGGGAAATAAGTGATTTCTGCAAAAAAGCAAGAGGCTGAACAGTTTCATCTGTCTGGCCCTACAGTCCCATGCTGCTTCTTATGACATCCCCAGAAACAGCATTTTGAAAACCCACATTCAAAGCCCCAAATAGGGCTGAGTCAGGTTTTGTGGGGCCTGAAGCTTAGAAGATCCTCTTTAAGAAAAAAGTAAAGTCTACCAAACATTTAAAGTAGAAACAGCACCAATTCTACATGAACAGGGTGGTCTCAGAGTCCCTTAGCTCTCACCATGCACCTACGAAATGGCTCCTTCGGGGGCTCAATTCTGTGAGCTCTGATACCTCCCCTGGGGAGAGGTGGTTGCCTCAGAGGGCACCTGAGACCCCAGTCTGGCCTTGGTCCTTAAAGCTTCCCCCAAGAAGGAAGGAGGGCCCTAAGCCAAGAGCATCACGGTGGAGCAGGAAGCACACACAGACTCGACGCCCACCCTCTGCACCCTCCCTAGGCCCGCCCCCTCCTCCGCAGGCGGGGCCAGCGCTGTCACAGAGTTAAGCCAGGGCCCACATGCCAGCTACAGAGGGGATGCGACCCCAGGAAGCCACAGAAATCTGCTGCACATTATGCGAGCTGGAGGTCAGGGCAGACCCTGCGTTTTACCTGCGAACCCCAAGTGCAGAGCAAGCCCAGAGGGCATGGAAGGCCGGGTCCTGCAGAAGCGTCTGCTCCTCGCCGGCATCTGTCCTGGTGGCAGGGCTGTTTGTTCAAAGCCACACAGCACAGCTCCTGCCCTCCCTTCCTGAGGCTCCCAGGGTCTTGCCAGCCACTGGTGTCCCACCCCAAGGAGCGTGTTAGCAGCCAGAGAGCTTATCCAAGATGCACAGGACTTGGACACGGCAAGCACAGCTTGGGGTGTCACGCACTTTCCCCGTCGTCGTGGGCTAGTGAGCCGATCACCGGCCAGTAAACTGCCTTGCTCCCCAGCTGGCCAGCCCCAGGCTTGCTGGTTCTCTCCAACCAGAAATCAGAAGGGCAGCCTCTCCCCTGCAGCCAGCACAGAGCTGCGGTTGGTTCCATGTGAAGTGCTCCTGGCTGTCCTTTTGGGCCCGGGACCACCAAGCAATTAGCTTGGTACCAGCACGATGCCGAGGCTGGGGTCACGTGAGGACACGGCTCTGGTCCTGGCTGCAAAGCTGCCAGGCAGCCCACAGTGGCTGAGCCACCAGACCGGGCCCCTCAGGCACCACGAGAGGAGCCAGTGGGGCTCAGTAGCTCCTGGGGCAGGTTTCGGTGGGGAGGAGGATTTAAGGGGGGGCTTTCCTCCCTGCCTTCATGACACCAGAGGCCCCTCCAGGCCCCATCCTCCTTCCCCCACCCCCCGCTGTCTTCCCTTCCTGCCTACAGCCTCCCCACGAGTTGGGACAGCATCCTGATTCTCTGATCCTTCTCCCCTCACTGTCTCCGGAAACACCCCTCTAACCCCGCAAACATAGCCTTAGTCCTTCACTCCAAGTGGCTGTTAAATGCTCCAGGGGCCCCACACTACAG